TATCCCTAGCAACTCGGTCCCTCCACACCTCTTATTCTAAACCAAGTTCCACCCATGCGGACGTACCTTGGTCGCCCTGACCTGTGGACCGTACTACCTTCTTTTTCCCGGTCGCCCAGCCTCTTCTTTGATGGGTGCCACAACTCCCCCATCCAAAGTCTCGCTGGCCCCATTGTGCTCAGTCTCCTCCCCAAGGTCTGGGAAGTCATCAATTTCTGTCGCTTGACCATCATGGTCGACGAGCATTAGTTGCCCTCCCTTCTTCCAGTCCTGGGGTAGTCTCTTTTTCCTACCATCTCCCCGACTCTGATGCGTGGAGCCCAACTTTGCCTATATATCTAGGGCCTTCTTGCTGAAAGAAGCGAAGTTGTGTTGTTCGACATAGGCCTCATCTACCAGCCTTGTCCTAACCTCTGAAGGCAGACATCTTAGGTAATCCGTGAGGAGTACCTGCTGGTCATAGCGCATGCCAGGTACCATGAGCAGACGTTCTACGGTATCCATGAGCTCACAAACATTCTTGTACCTTCTGGCACAAAGACTGTTGATTGTGTATGTGACCTTTTAAGCCCCCTGAGGGTCATGCCACCTGTTATACACGGACCGTACGAATTCTTCCAATGTTTGGGTCTGGGCCCATGCATCGAAGTTCTGACAGCGTAGCCTTGTTGCTGCACTAGGCCATTCAACCAGTGGGCTGCTAACCCTTCTAAAAAGGAGGCAGCCACTACAACTTCTTGCTCCGGCCTGGTAAGCTTGTGCCTCACATAAGTAGGCATCGTCCTTACCCAGGTATCCAAGTCCTCATCCTTCTTCTTGTCGCCGGAGAAGGGCTTAGGACTCATCAAGGGTATTTTGGGCATCCACTGCACAGGCTGCATTGGCCCAGGAGATTGCTGCAGTGGCTGCATAGCCACCGAAACAGGTTGTTGTACACTAACATGGGCCTGACTTGACAGTGGGACTGTAGTAACCACTGTCGTGGATGGTACGACAAAAGTTCTAAGAACCGGACCACTAGTCGCTACGTAACCACCTGAAGGAGGCATGCCAAACATAGGTGAGAATGAGGGCCCAACTGGCGACGGCGCCATTGATGGACCCGCAACCGATGGGGGAGCTACAGCAAACTGAGGCTGCCTCATCACTGGACGAGGGGCCTATAGTGCAACCATAATTCGTTTCTGGCCTGCCACTAGTTCAGCCAACACCTGCTGAACAACCTGTGTCTCCGCCACACACAGGAGCGAATTCCGTAGTGCTCGCATAGCGGGATCAAGTGCGGACTCATCTAGTGCCTCTAGCTTGCCTAGTTCCTGCAATCTACTACCTAGTCTAGCTTTTCTCATGATTGCTCTTCTTCTCTGTGCTGCCTCATCCAATGGCCGCTGTAGCTCATCCTGAAGTTCTTCTGCTTGGAGGATTTTATAATCCTTCGGCGTGAGTTGAGCCTGTTGGCTGACTTGCACGCCAACACTTTGACTAATAGAAGCCCGAGAACCACTCTGACTGACTCCTGACGAAGTGGCCTGTGAAGAGGCCTACGACATGGTAGAGGAGGTAGCCATGGTCGTAACGGTACTTGTTGTAGTTCTAGACCTGGCGCTGGCCTCAGCCACCCTCACTCTTCTTGCCGTTGTTCTCTCTCTAGCCTCTCTCCGCAGCCTTCTTTTGTCTCCTGGACCTAACTCTAGGAAAGTCAAGGGTTGACTGAGAGCAGTTCTTCGAGTGACCCTAAAGTCATCCACTAACAACTCCTCCTCACTACCGCTTGCATCACTCATAAGCTACAGTGTGTGTGATCTAACCTAGAATCCACTATGAATCCTACCTCAGCATGACACACAACCGATTATGATACACAACTAGCTTCGGTCGGCCTGAACAGGAACAGTTAGATGGTTAGGTGTCAACCAATGTCAGATCCTACAGGGAATATTAAACCTATTTTTAGATTACTCTAATACAGATTGCAATGCAGCAAAGAATATACTACTCTATGTGCAGCTGTCGGTCAGTTGTTAGTCAAATCCGTAACAACCAAATAATCAAAAATAAAAATAATGCTCCCTGCAGAGATGTATGCTGAATGGCTGTTTATCTAATTAATGCCACGGCGAACAGTTGCCGGAATCCAACCCTTTACCTGTATCCCTCTTGAGTAATCACTTTGTGTCAACGCCCTGAGCATCTGGTTGAGCAGCGTGTCTAAAGGTATGCAATCTGGCCCACCCCTGTGCCCCAAGTCAACGTCGAACCTGCCAGCCCCTGCACATTATTTATCCTCGCATGCAACGAGCCTTACACCCGGTTTGATCTGGCTGATCAGGAGGCATTTAAGGAGATCCCCATACCTCCTCAGGAATTATTCAACGTCGCAGACAGGATGACGATCACAGCCAGAATCAACACCGAGTCTCTGCCAGAAATATTCAAAGACGGTCTGATGAGTGTCTGTTCAAAGGGTTGGCATGCCCTGCATGACCACTATTGTGCAGCAGCAGAACCAAGGACTTGCGGCAAGGCATGCGTGTACTAGTCCCAGCGGGTTGGCATGGTGACCGTGACCCGAGTGCTTCGTCCAGGGCCCTTCAGAGGCAACGCCCGTCTCCCACCAGCTTGCTGCCCAGGAAGAATGTCGACTCTCAAGGTTGAGTGCTCGCGACACCTCACATTGAGAGGACTCTCAAGACAGAACTCACTTCCTCACGGTAAGAAGCAATGAAGAGGGTAGATAAGGAAGGAAGCAACGTACCTCATAATGCTGCTCCCAACCACAAATTTCTCACCGGCAACCTGATGTGCATTTATGATGACCGGTCTTTGTGTCGGCACAACCAACAGCAGAATGCAGTTCCACCTCGGCTTAAATGCCACATCAGTGAGCTCTCATCATCCAGCGTACACCCCTATTGTCACCACATAGCTTCCTGGCGCGCTCACACGACCCTGGGCCACCTTACATCCAACGCACAAGCCTTATCACTGCCCCACACCTCATGCAAAGCACCGAACAGCTATTGCGAAGAACCAATGATCGCAGTTCGAACCAGCTCTGATACCCAATTGCAAGGAAAATGAGCAATAGCGGGATGACGATAAACCAAATGCACAATCACATTGAAGACCAGATAGTATCACAGTGTCCAGAGAGTTGCACCAATATAACACCAATGAAGAATTGTAACACTGAAAACCAATGTCAATAAGAGCTATCTCTCACCACCACCAACGTGAGTATCCAGGCCCTATCTTCCTACTTGGCGCTCGGCGCCCAGCCTACTCCCTACACAGCTACTACTAGCCTACTAATTGACAATGAAACTGTTGACGTCAGCAGCCAGCAAAGTACTTGGAGATGTCGGGCGTAGCAGACCACCGCCAATACCAGGTATGTCCTCTCACATCATCATCATCATCATCCTTCTTTCTGTCCCTCGTCTTACATCCACGTCTTCTCTCTGTACACCCGAAGACCACCCCTGCGCCTCACTGTAGTCCAAGCCCGCCAGCTATGGTGGCTAGGCTATGGCGCTGCCCTCAGCAGCGCCCTCCTCCTTCACACGACCACACATGCCCACGCCTTGCCTCTCAGTGCCTATAGCAGCCTGCGAGCGCTTGCTCCAGCAGGGCTGCCGCTAGGCATGCAAGTGCGTGAATGCCCGGCCAGGCAGCGAGCTCTTTCCTATATGGAAAGAGCCTGTCTCATTCAGCAGCCTGGCTGGACTGGCCTGGGCCCAGAAGCTTCCGGTAGGCCCCAGGATGCTGCGCCTCTCTTGCAGCTACTGGGCCTTATTCGGTTGGGCCTCCCAACTGTCTGTGTATGAGGCTGCGATTCTCGTCCAGGGCCTGCATCATTTTGGAAAAGCCTGGAAGGCCGTCGAAAGTCCCGCTGCTCGGCCTGTGTTTTCCTCAACCAACTGGCGCGACGAAACTGCCTGGACCCCAAATACGAAATTGACAGCCGAGGGCCTCTCGTGATTTGTTAGGCCCGCCTTCACTTAGGGCGGGCACAGATGCAACAGGGGGCCCCTTAGGCCTGCTGAGGATCCGGATCCTCGCATCAATTAAAGGAATTACAAAAATCTGCACACTTATTTCTCGCCATTCGAGAACCAGCTTATCAAAATTCTTAACCTCCATAGCCAAGAGAGGACAGGAGGGCATCCTCTCCTGCCATAGAGAAGTAGATAACCTGTCTAACCCCCTGGTCCCCAGATCCGGTGTTCTCATGAATTAGTGGCAAATTTTGAGGCAACCCTCAGCAAAAGTTGCTTGTCTTACAATTTGATTCGACATTTCTGGCTTTCCTGTTTACTTTTGGATTTTTTGGCTTTGTATTCTTTTATTATATAAAATATTTCGCTCTCAGACTGCCTGCGACCGCACCTGGACCCTGACTGGCCAAGCCTGCCCAGGTGGGTTCCTCGGCACCCGGAGCCAGTCCTGGGCGCTTGGATAAATGCCTACCGTCTTCACCTGAATAGAACGCCTGGTAATTATTGCCGTATCTGGACTGAAAATTGCACCAATACAGATATAATGACCGGGCATTCTATTCGGGTGAAGACGGTAGCTGCCAAGCCTGCGCAGGTGGGTTCCTGGGCACCCAGAGTCAGTCCAGGCCGCTTGGATAACAGCCTACCGTCTTCACCCGAATAGAAAGCCCGGTCATTATCGCTGCATCTGGAATGAAAAATGTCCTAAATACAGTTATATTGAACGGGCGTTCTATTCGGGTGAAGGCGGTAGCCTTTGATGACTAGTTTGAACTTCGACGAAACATCCAGTATCAAAAGTGTCAGATAGGAATTCAGGAAGACAAATTGAGAAACAAGCCGAAAAAAGAATTGATGATTGTCAATGTATTGGTAGGTTTCCACTTACTCAAGAAATTGTTGGGTGAGAACTGATTGTTGGTTCTTTGTCTTAGCTGAAATCAGTTGGTCACTGTTCTCAGCAATTTTCCCTTCTTTTCCGGTTGTGTTGTATGTGTCCAGAATGGCTTCCGCAGGAACATCATTGGTGCAGCTTCCTCAGTCCTTTCGGCATCTCCAATTGAGGCACTATCTGTGGCGCCATTGCGTTTCTCCCCGCTTCTCTATCTCCGGATTATGGCCGTTAATGTCGAGTACCTGAACACCCTTGAATCCATGTCCTTTGAGCTGCAGGTGGAGGTCTGTAGACTTTGACTTTTAGAACACAAACCCTGCTCTGGGCGAAGTGATGTCTGCATTTATTTGTTGATAATAAATGAGTGGAATGTGATGAACCCAATACTGAGAAGCTCACAAAATCAACACAATGCAATGAATTTCATAATGTCCAAAGATTGACATCAACCAAAAGTTGTCGATTAGACAAGAGTATAGACGAAGGAAAGAAGAAGAAAAGGAGTTGTTGTCACCGATAATAATCAATGAATACAATGTCTTGTCTCGCCTTCCCCCTCCTTCCTCCAGACTGCTTCTTCCTCTTCTTACCACCTCTCTCTCAACAACCTATCCCTCTGCTAGTGATGAAGCTGGTACGACTCTCCCAAGCACCTCGCCAATTAAGTTACTCAACAATGCATAATCAAATAGGAGAAGGAAGAACTACACCGGAATGACAATGCCAACCTTTGAAAGCAGAGAACTGTCTCTCCAACACGGCAGTGACCTCCAGGTAAGCGTCTCTCTCTCTCTCTCTCTCTCTCTCTCTCTCTCTCTCTCTCTCTCTCTCTCTCTCTCTCTCTCTCTCTCTCTCTCTNTCTCTCTCTCTCTCTCTCTCTCTCTCTCTCTCTCTCTCTCTCTCTCTCTCTCTCTCTCTCTCTCTCTCTCTCAGCCTGATTGGAGAGCTTAGCAAGGCTGTGCGTGTGTTGTCAAACTTGCACACTGAAGAATGAGGCTGGGTTCTTCGCCCAGTCTCAAGATATAGCGGCCTACCTACCTCCCGGGCGGTGATTTCCAGGCCACTCGGCCTCCCAAGCAACTGGTACCTCCTCCCTTTCGGAGGGAAACATCATTGCAGACTCTGATATTGCCCGCGCAGGCCCTAGACTGAGACTGGATGGACTGGTACCCGCCTAGGCCTAGCCTACCGCTACCGGGCCTCTAAAAATGCCAACTTTGTCTTCTTCTGCTCTGCCTCGAGTACCCGAGACATCTACTTCTACTGGGTGTGGTACCGACCTACCTGCTACGTGATTGTTTTTCCGTTGATCCAACTGCCACGGGCCCCTGGCTCCGCCACTCGCGTGTTTTCCCTGCTGCAACCCTCAATGCCACGACCACAGGTAAGTACCGGCCCTACGGGCCTCCCAAACAAGTAAAACACACACTCATGCCAACAAGCACTCAGACAGGCACGCAGGTCACCAAGCACGCACACACTCAGACTTAGAAAACTCAACAGAATGTGGGAATCTCAGCAAGGCATCCATTCCATTGGCAAAACTCAGAAATCAGCAGTGTTCTCAGTCTGTGTTATGGCGGGTCATTACACTACCCGCCCCTCAAGAGCGAGGTCCCTTCGAGCGAGTAACGCACTGAGAGTCCCTGCATAATGCATCATAAGCGTAAATGGCAAAGAGAGATCGGGTATGTTCCGTAGGAGTGACAGTAGCGGTGAACTTAGGTTGCTGTTCGGAGACAATCAGTCATTCATATGCGTTGACAACTCGCGGGGCACTCTGCAGCAAGTCCTTCTTAGCAATATTTAGTAAAAATCATTTAATGGGTGATATAGAAAATGGACTTTGTATTGTCTGTTTCTCCCTTTTTCATTGTGCTCGACAATTCTATCAATCTTGTGACTGCCATTGATTGCGCGAGGAATCGCCGATTCTCGATACGAAAAAGTTTCAGTTGGTACATACGGAAACAACTTCTACGCGTGAAAGACTGGGTACATGCGCTAGGCATGTCGATCGTGCAAGGACCGAATGAATCCTCCCCTACCTGGTTCAATACCTTCCACGGACCGTAATATCGAGGAAGAAGCTTTCGTGATACACCTTCCTCTTCAGAAAACTCAGACATTTTGACCTTGACATAACGTCCCGCTATGAAAGGTTCAGGCTGGCGCTTTTTGTTAGCATGCTTAATCATGGCACCTTTCCATAGCTGCAACAACAACTTTGAGCAAGCAATCAAACTTAGCGTTGTAGCGTGGCTGGCCAGGTGTTAGGCCAAGTGGCGGGTCAGGAAACAAATAGGATAGGGGATTGTGAATTTGCCACCCAAGGTGCAACCAATTAGGTGTCATCCCGGTGGAGTGTATGGAGTTGTACAATCCCTGCACAATCGGCAATTCCTCATCCCAAAAGTTTTGATCCGACACAATTAGAGCTCGGAGAAGTTGGATCACAGTCTGGTTGATCTCCTTGGCCTATCCATTGGCTTCGGGATGTCGACCATACGCCATCTTGAGTTTGATGTCATAGATCTGGGAGATGAAATCCTTCCAATCTGCACTTATGAACCTAGTGTCCCAGTCACTCACAAGAGTCTTCGGGGGCCCACACTGCAAAATGTACTTATTGTGAAACTCCTCGATCACAAGGTTAGTTGGGGCGTGAGGTGGCAATGGGATCAAATTCAGAAATTTTAAAAAGCGGTCAACGATCACCATTACTTGTGAATATCCGTTCCTTCTCTTCTTTCCCATGTCCGTGAAATCGATGGCTGGGCCATCAGGAATAGGAAGGGGATACAGCAGCCCATAGGGCTTTTGCTGAGATGGTTTAATGCGTTGACAAACTTCACACTCAACCACAAACTTTCGTGCAATTTCTTTCATCCCAGGCCATACAAACTTTTGCAATAGACTTCCATATGTATTTTCAAAACCGAAGTGTCCACTCCGGCCATGAGCCAAGTCGAAGAAGAGTACGGATAAGCTTATGGTTGGGTACACACAGTCGATCGTACTTCCTGTGACGTCGGAAGAACAAACCTTTACACTCGTGGAAATCAGGCTGACTGCTAGGGTCAGCTTAGGTCTGCTCAAGGATGGGATTGAGTTTCGGGTCCTTGGCAGTATGCTCAACTAGTTCCTCCTTCAAATTCTTACGGAGATTGTAGGAACCTACAAGACAAGTCATGTATTCAGGGTGGCGAGACAAAGTATCCGCAATGCGATTGTAACAACCTTTCTTGTGTTCAAGTTCAAAATCATACACATCAATCTCATGCAGCCAGCGGGTCAATGTAGTTGATGGATTAATTTGTGTTTGAATCCATTTCAAAGTCTCGTGGTCTGAGAACACTTTGAAATGGCGACCCAAGAGGTAGTGTTTCCAATGATCTAGTGCCTTTCTCAAGGCATAGAGTTCTCGCATGTAAGTGGAGGCAGCTACCTTGTGATTGGGCATGTGTTTGCTGTAGTAGTCAAGCGGACGTAAGCCGTCACCATCATCTGCAGCACTGCACCAATCCCATACAAGCTTGCATCTGTAGTTACTACGAACGTAAGTTTGGGATCTCTGCAATGTGGAGCACAAGATGACTCAGCAAAGTCTCCTTCAATGCTTGGAAGGCGGTTGTGCATTCCCCATCCCATGTGTAAGACATGTTCTTGCTTGTCAATTTGGGCAGCGGACGAGCGATGATAGAGAATTTGAACATAAAACTTACGGTAGTACGACGTGAGACCAATAAAAGAACGCAACTCTCGAACATCTGCCGGTTGAGGCCATTCGCGGATGACCTCAACTTTGGTTGCCTCGGGCTCTAGGCTTGCAACGAACAACCATCCCTGAGGATTTGCAACACTTCCTCAAGGTGTCTCATGTGCTCCTCCATCGACTTGTTGAAGATTAGTATGTCATCAATAAACAACAACAAATCGATTGATCTGATTGCGAAACACCTTGTCCATGAGACTTTGGAAGGTGGTCGGTGCTGAAGGGCATGACGGTAAATTCGTATAGCCAATCGCGAGTTTTGAATGCAGTTTTATGCAGGTCTGCAGGGTCGACTTCAATCTGGTGGTAGCCAGACTTGAGATCGATCTTGCTAAAGACCTTGCATCCACCTGCAGCATCAAGCAGATCATCAATGTGTGGCAACGGGTATGCATTCTTTCTTGTTATTTTATTCAGTCCGCAGTAATTGATACACATCCGTAGCTTGCCTCCTATCTTATGGACAAACAAAACTGGTGCACCGAATTCGGATTCGCTTAGCTTGATCCAACCTTTTTCAAGCATGTCTTCGATCTGCCTTCGGAACTCCTCCAATTCGCCTGAGCCTATTCGATAGACACAACCCTTTGAAGGAGTGTTGTCTTCTATCAACTTGATCTTGTGTCGGACCGGACGCACGGGAACTCCATGCGGTTCAGCCAAAACTTCAAGAAATCGGTTGAGAAGGTTGCGGATCTCTGATGGGATTTTCGGAGGTGGATCATCAGATTCTGGTGCAAGCATACCTGATAGGTGTAGCGAAAACAACATGATTTGAAGCAGAGTCGTTTGGACTAGAAGTACATTTAGTAGAGGTAGAAGTGGTTACATTAAAAGTAAAAACGACATGCACATTATGTACAACAAAAATAGAAGGCATATGAGCAGGCCTAACAAAGGCTGTATACATTTGCTCATCAACTTTGCTCCTGCGCCACTTTTTGCAGAATTCCATCGCATTGAGAAAAGTCACTTGGGACTTTGCTCGTCCAAGAGGACTGGACGCTCGATCCTAATGGCATCTTTGACTATGAATTGTGAGTCCTTCCACATGGTTCTTTCAGATTGGGCCTGCAACCAGCCCAAGCCAATAATCGCGTCGAAGGGGCACTTATCAAGGACATAAAAGTTCAACTCATGCATGATTGTGCAGTCTGCGTCAAAGCGCACAACTTTGAGTGCATGTGTAGATGTGGCAACCTCTTGGTTGCCCACTTGGGTCCGACAAGGATTTTGCAAAGTCACTTGCTTCATTCCCAAGCGTGCCTTACGAATGTCGTGCGGCGCTGCGAAGTAGTTGGCGGTTTCGCCACAATCAGCCAACGCACGAATGTAACGACCGTTAATGGGGAGTTGAAAAAGATCAACTTCATTTTCCCTTGCGCATGTTCTTGCTTCATGTGAGCCCAGCGCAACAAGAGAGCATGAAGTCAATTTCTTCCGACTCCACCTAAGGCTCCTTGTAGAGGATGTGCAATTTCTCAGCCTTGGAATCAACATCAGATGGGG